TTCAGATATTTAAATAAAAAAAATAACAAAATTCATATATTTCTTTCAACCTTTTCCCCAAGTTCGGAGACATACCTTCAATTTCCACTATATTCATGAAAGCACTGTCGGCCAAAAAGAAAAAAAAATGAAAGCACTGTTCGAAAGGCTTGTCCCATTCACTGGATAGTGCCTGTGTTCAATGAAAATATCTAATCAGGTTCATTGGAGAAGCCAATAATTAAGCCTTGTCAAAACGTTCTAAATTGTTCTAATTTGCTTTTAATATATATATATAACAATCTTCCTCATTTTCCCAAAGACTTCTAAGTCAATAATTTACCATGTTTAGTACTTAAAATGCATTATTTTTTTAGATGAATAGTACTCAATTACATCATTTCTGCATTACAATGAAAATACGGAAGATATAAATTCGAAGATCTCTTTAACATTTTTTTCTTAATTAACTTAAATTAATTCAAATAAAGTTATAAATTAAAATAAATCAGCATAAAGTTGGACAATAACTATACAAGATATCAAATTTAAGATCTAAAAGTATTAGATATATAACATCCACCTTAATTATTAGCCCAAGGCTTCTTTTTTTTATTTATTGAAATTCCTTTAATTTTCAATATGTGGTGGTTTTACATTGTGATCACATCAAGGGCAAGAAATAAAAGTGACACAAATGGAAAAGGCAAGTAATATATGATAAAACTGAAAATCAACATGTATAAAAAGTTTCAATTTTTGGCAATTTCTTAATGTATTTATTGATAAATAAAACGATTTGACAATCAAAAGCCGAAAAACACTTGCGTAATGTGAATGATAAAAGTTGGTAGTGTTTGTTAAATGACTTAATCACTTTTTGGCACATTTAGCTAGGCTGAAATTTGACAATTTTGAATCTTTCATTTTCTTAGTCATAATAGTGGGAATCATGGCTTTGTAAGTGATTAATTATTGGTTAGTCTAGCTGTTAACAATGTGAGGAAAAATTATATTACAAGAAAAAAAAAAAAAAAAACAATGTGCGGAAAATTAATTAAAGTAGTACTTACTACCTGACTTTATTAGGAGTATGGACTTCTCCCCGCTTAATTAATTGGCACTTACTTAAGTTCCTTACACTCTCCCCCCATCCAATTTTTTTTTTTAAAAAAAATCCTTAGTATTATTTTGACTTTCGCTCTCCAAAATAACATTGCTTATTTCCTTTTCTTTTTGTTTTACTTGGAAGGCAATAACATTGTTAATATTCTAATAATTAAATTAATTTTAATTAATATTTTTTAAAAATATTTTATAAGTGGATATGATATATACTCTGTACAAAATAACAGTTTAGGGTAAGAAAATCAGAATTCTGCACACACAAAAAGCAAGGCAAACGGGTAAGGTGAAGAAATAGAATGAGATGTAACCCGTAATCTTAATTAGAAAGATTGCTTATTAAGCTCGTGGTAAGATTACATTTATAATTTTATATAGTATTAAATAATATAATATTATATTAAATAAATAGATATACATATAATATTATAGATAAATCTATGAATGAAAAGAATTAATTATAAATTGCTACATTACATTGTAAATTTATAATACTATATAATATTGTAATTATAATATTTTCATTAATTTCAGGTTAAATTTATTGATACTCAAAAAAATTAATTTTTTTAAATGCATCATGTCAATTAAAGAGGTGTACTCCTAAAATTACTTAAAAATAAATTAATCTTGAGATACATAAAAACTAATTTGAGGGTATCCTTACCATCTAAACTTAAAATAATAATAATAATAATAAATAAATAAATAAAGAAGAGTGTCTACCGAATTAAAACTTTAATGCTAAGGTTCTTTGTTGACAGTGTCACGTCAGTTTATATTGAAAGGTAGGTGAGTGGCTGGCATATACATTTTCTTAAACCCACCCATTTGCTAAACAAAGTTTTCTTGCGTGTGGTGATACCAAACAAATCCTAGCCACCTATTCTTCTGAATTTGCCAAATGTTCTTATAAAAGCATTTTTCTTTCTATTTTTTTTTTTCTTTATGGTAATAAAAAAAGGATGCACATTCTTAAAGATCTGTTAAAATTTTTTCTAAACTTAGTAAGTGGATAAATAATATCGTGTTCACATCTTGTGGCCTCATCTTTTAGACAATAGTCAATTTTTGTTTGGTCTATTTTTTTATTAAATAATAATTAAAAACACGGGATTAAATTATAATACTAAAGACATTTTTGCCAAGCTAGATACATGTATTTGGAAATGGACTCTCAAAAAAATGTATATACTATAATGAATTTTAGCATTGATTCATGTATACTTTGAAAAAATATATAGATTAATTGGATTGTAGAATCCCTAATAAAATTTGAAAATGTCTATAACCAACATAGATAATGATACACAATTAACTTATTTGTATAGTATTTTTTACTTATAGTTTTTTACATATTATTAAATATATAAATATATATATAATATTATGAGATTTTAATAGTAAAAAATTCAATTATTAAATAAAATATAAAATTATATAAGAAAAATTGTACAATAAAAATGATTTCTTGCATTCATTTTCCAAATACATTAATTGAAAAAAAGTAAGAGTTTGCTCCGTTGAATTATTACAAGGATTTTTGAAATAGGGACGAGCCCCAACATTAGGAAACTTATATTTTATTAAAGTGATCATATTTTATAATGGATATAATTTAGATTATAAAATTTTTTTAATAAAATAATTTTTTAAAAATAATTTATAATTAATTATACTATTATATAAATTTTTAAATTAAAATTTTAATTATATAATAATATATTATATTATAAAACTATAATATTACATGACTTTTTAACTCTTCCATTTCCAATCTAAGAATGTACAATGCAGTCTACTCATCCACGTCGGATGCATGAGGGAAAACCTTGTCCACGGTGTAACAGACATATCACCACCGGACCCCACTTTTGTCATTTGTCAGTAACTCCAATGAATGCAACGTCACCCTGACTTGGCATACTCCAATTCGCCATTACCCTCCTACGGTTCTGCCACAGTTCTCTGCTATTCCGGCTTCACTTTCAAATGTGGGTCCCATACACGGTGAACATCGGTGACGTGTCGGTGACGGAGCTGACTTAGGCCGGTTTGAATTTCGGGGGGTAGCCCCGTGCCGGCAAGTCAACGGTCGTTTGGTTGTTGAAGAAGAGAAATGGCGTAAAAGTGCAGGCAAAAAATGGAAAGCGAGAGAACATGGAAATTCAAACCCAAGCTAAAAATTAACCAGAGCACACGCACGGACCACATTCTCTCCATTCAGACAATTAGACAAAACCAATGGACGTTTACGTCCAATGGTTTGACCCCAAACTTTTAATACTTAGGGATAGTTGAAAATTTAAATTTTACTATCGTCGTGAACTCCATTAAAAGTGACTTAATAATCGCGTGTCTTATTTGAGGGGTGGAATGTTCACTCAATTTAAAAATCGAATATTCAGTTACTAACAACTAATTTATACTAATTTTTTAATTATAATCTTTGTAAAAAAAAAAAAAAAAACAATAGACAAAACAGAAGCAATGTAAGGCGGTAAGTATCTCGAGGAAACGAGGAAGCATATATCTGTGTTCTCACCAAAGAATCTTCTCACCCTTAGCGCGTGTGGGAGCACACATCCCTCCGTTCGTGGACTCGCCATCCTGTTCAAACTTGAAATATTTATAAAAATATATCGAAAAGCTTTTGTTTCAGTTGAGACGGTGCTGCAGACCTGTAGTGACCTTTGAACAAGAGAATAAGGATTATTTAGTGGAGTTTCTTGAAATTTTTTCTTTTTAATATTGAGTAGTTTGAATTTTTATTTAAAGAAAAATTTAGAAAATATTTTTAGAAATAAAAAAATAAATAAGAAATAAGTAGAAAGAAAATTTATAAAAAGTAAAAATTTGAAAATTTTTAAAATTCATTGTTTAATGTCTTTTTAAAATTAAAAAAAAAATTTAATTTATAAAATATAAACAGTATCAAAAAAACTGAAATATTTATAAGTTTCACCAAATATACTAAAAAAGATGGTTGCATTTGATTAGCGCAGTCTTACCCATCCAACAGTCTACTGCAAATATAGGAGTGAAAATAAATTACTAATTAAATTTAGGGTTTATTAAGTAAGGGTGTATTTATTATAATTTTTTATTATTAACTTATATTAAAATTTATAAAATAAAATTCTAGTTTTAATGATAATCTCAAGTGAAACATGATTAATTAAACAATTAATAAGTTTAAAATAAATTTTTATTTTTTATATAAATTAATAATAAAAAAATACATAATAAATGCACTCATAAAGTACATGATTGACAAATTCTTAAATTTAAATAACTTTGAGTATTGAAATTGTTATTTAGAAATTACTTGCCTGTTTTCAACATCATTGACATCAACTGACAAATCTTGCACACTTCAGGTTTTCTCTTTCTTTCTTGTTAACTAAGTAAGGGATAATATAGAAATTTTTCGACCTAACTATGCATTAGTTAAAGGTGTAATTAATAATTTTTTTAATATTAATTAGCATTGAAAATGATAAAAGTTTATATTAATTTCATCACTTAGGTCACATGAATTATTTTAATTAAATATTTAATTAAATAAATATCAATTTTCATTTTTTTAATAACAATTAATATTAAAAAATAATTTTTAAAATATAAATTAAAAAAATTCATTAATAAAAATTAAAAATAAATGAATTAAAATTTATTTACAAATAATTTTTATATATATCACTTACGCAGAATCTAAAAGGTCATAAATCTAGAATTAATTATCATGATGCATGATGACTAGCTAGGAGCTAGCGTGTCATAAAGTCACGACCAATTGTTTCATCGGCAAGCACCATCAAGTTGGATGTAATTCATCAGTGATGTATATATGATAATGAGGTGCAAGTTGAATAAGGCTAGGATCAATTAAAATATTTTTGCTCGTCAATCTATTAGAGAATTAAAATAAAAAAGTTAATTTCTTTCCCATCCATATGTGAGAGTAGATTTACACACCAGTCACGTATTTAGTGTCTCAGTCTTATTATTTAGTTTAATCTAATAAAAAAAGGGCCAAAAATACTGTTGGGACAATGTTTTAAGATCCGGTCTGGTGGACCAACCGGGCCTGAGGCCCAATGATTAATCCCTAAGCCTTAGGGTTTGGGTGAGGCGGAGGTCAGAATTTCGAGTTTTGCCACCTCCGTAAACTCCATCAACTTGCGACCTAATGACCGCGTGCCTTATATGAGGGGTAATAACCGCGTGCCTTATATGAGGGGTGGAACGTTCACCATCTTGAAAAATCCCAATTGCTAACAAACTAACTCTACTAACTTACTAACTATTACCCTTGTCAAAAAAAAAAAAAAAAGATCCAGCCTGGTGATTGACCCATTTTGATCTTCGGGTCCGATTTAATTAATTCAACCGATTCAACTGATTGATTTAACCAACCATTTAAAAAAATCAATTTTTTAATATTTTTATTAGATTTTACTCTTATATATTATTTTTATTCTATTATTAAGAAATAATCACCACAAAATTAACTTGAAAAT